TAAGTCACTCTAAATGACGTCATGGTGGGTCAAAGTTCATTACCGGTCTGCGCATGTCAGTTTAATATCGCTTGCTGCCCTTTTGGTAAAGTTCGTTGCCCTGAAAAAAATATTTGAATGTCAAGTTCAAGTTCAACTTAGTTCAAGGATAAGAAATTCCGGACTTACTTAATAGGGCGTGTTCATTCCATATAGCCACCCAGCTAATATTTACATATTACACAGTAATTTAAACGACGGTTTATATATTATTAAGATTGTAGGCTACGGTAGGCCTACCGCAATCAGTATGTCGAATATATAAAGACAGCCCCCCCCCACCTCCAAAAAACAAAACAAAACAAAAACCGATTTTTGTTGGCAATGGGCCAGCTGGCATTCCCCGCAGCCCCGATCGTATGTAAATTGTAGTTTCTTGTTGTAAATAAGAGTATTTAACGTCCGCTTCCACCTGGGAAATATCGCAGAGTGACGTAATCAGGTAAATTTTGTATAAGATTTCTTTATCCCAGTCGGGGGGTTGGATGGCTGAATGGTTAGCACGCGCGCGCTGTATCATAAAGTCTGTCATTGAATCAACTGGCGTGGTTTCGAATCCCCGGTTGTACGTGACAAGGAGTAGGGTCGCCTGTCCAACCTCGTGGGTTTTCTTCTGGTCCTCCGGTTTCCTCCCACTGCTAAAGACCCCTACGCGCAAGCGAATTATTGAAATAAAATTAAACCATTTGTTAGTCCCGAAATGACCTAGTTTGTGTCGAGTGGACGTTAAACCCCATTTCTCTCTCTCTCTCTTTTTATCCCAGTCGTTGATCCGATTTAATGAATAAAACATTCGGTCATAACATTTCAGAAATCTTATTGATAGATTACAAAGGTGCGTAGTCTCTGTCATTCAGACACATATTCTAATCTTCAAGACTATGGAGTTCTGGGTGTCCGAAACTAAAAGGTGAGCGCTCTGGAAACACATCAAGATAGGTATGGTATCTCTTCGATGCCACTTTGACATTCAGAAAATACTGTGTCATTCACATATCCCCCCCCCCCCTTCAAATAATCTACCAATTCAAACAAGTAGCAAACGTAGTCGGTGCTGTTCAGTCAAGTCAGAGAATTCTCATTTCCGCCATGGGAACTATCAATCAATATTCAATATGGCTAGATCTAATTGATAAGGCCAACTTCAAGTTTGGTCAACCGTCACAGATGTGGACTGGGCCAGCGCTAATCCAAACCCTAACCCTTGCCCTAATCCTAACTTACAATCTCGCCAACAAGCACGCGTCCTAAGCTTATTTACATCTCGGCGACCTTGACAAAAATTGAGTTGGTCTCAACAAATAGATGTATAGCCATTCAATATGATATCGTAGGTAAATTTCCCCGGATCAACACAAGCTATAGGCCTACTGGTATTGGGCCTGTGATATTGACCTATACACGCTTCACGTTATATAACGTTAACTAGGTCAGTAAGTACTTCATTCAAGTTTTCTTTGATGATCCCATTGTGACAGGTGGCAAGCTCATAGGCGTACGAGCTGGGGGGGGGGGGGCGGCCGCCCCCCCCCCCCCCATTTTGGGCACCAAATGCTGTTAAAATTTCGGCACACAATTGTACTTTGTAAAAGTTGTATAAAAAAAATATTGTGTTCTTGAATGTGTCCAATTTAACAGCGAATTTATTATTATCATTATGTAACATACTAAGAACCTAACTAAATTTTTTGGGCACCAACCACCCCCCTCCCCCCCAGTCAAAAATTTCCCCGTACGCCTATGGGCAAGATTTATCTCTAACGGATGAAACTATAAATATCAAAATATTTTATATTTTTATAATCACCTAAAATGTACAACAATAAATTAATATGATGTAATATGCCGCTAAATTGATATGCTAATTCAACAATTATATTACGATTTAAGCTGATGAAAAGGAAATGAATCTGACTAGAGACTTTGCTGCTTTAAATTTTTTTTATAAAATATGTGAAGCAGGCAATTACTATTAGTGGTTCCCCGGGCTTGTCAGCGATGCAGGGCGGAGGGCCTGAAAAGGACAGCTGTCTAGTCGTTCGGATGGGACGAAAAACTGAGGTCCCGTGTATACATTGGCGTGCACGGAAAAGATCCCCTGACAGTTGGAATTCGATATAAGAGTAGGCTGTAGTGCCGCTTTCCGGGCAAAGTTTCTCTCATAGCATACTGCACGGTGTATGTCCGTCTTCATTAGCCCATGGAGTAGAACAGTATAGGACGTTAAAGTTACAATTTCATATTTTTAAAATGCATTAAAATAAAGAGAGAGAGAGAGAGAGAAATGGGGTTTAACGTCCACTCGACACAAACTAGGTCATTTCGGGACTAACATTTGCCACGTATAATTGGGGATTCGAAACCACGCCAGTCGACTCAATGACATTAAAATAAAGCCCTAAAATAGATGTATCTATAACAGTCCTGCCTTGTTAAAGAATAATCCTATTTAATCTTATAATTCACTATTGCCAGTTGAGGAATTGGCAAAAATATCATTTTCAACTTCAAATTCAAACGTATTCCATAGTGGGGAATAGGAAAACAAGCGAGGTAATTGTGTTATTATTTCCGGTGCGAAGATTTTTAAGTGTTAGAAAGATAACCTTTGATCGTAGTGAGTTGACAACCTATTGAGCAAAAGACATAGAAATAATTATGTTTTGACTTACTTAGAAAATATGAAATTGTAACTTTAAACTCCATTTCATTTTATTTCATTGCAATTACCATTACTAATTAGTAGAAATTAAAACTATAGAACAATATAGCTCAAACTAAAACTTCACTATTGTACAAAAAAATACAAAGTCCATGACCAAGCGCTCAACTTTATTATTTTATTTGTCCTATAACCAGTGTATTTTCTCCGTTGTTAAATTTAACAAGAGCATCGCTAACGCAGCAATATACGTCCACATTCCTGTTTTGTTTGATATGGTCCAGTTTGCATTGAGGGTCTGTGAAATAAAACTGGGTTGTAGGACTGCTATCAGTTTAACGTTTCGTTCACATTAACAGAACACAATTTTTATTTTAAAACAATCGATGTCTTTATTCTAAAAGCATGACGTTTAGAATAGGTATCCCCATTTCAAAAGGATCGGTTAAGAATTGCGGCCTGTAGGCAAAACACAAGACACACAAACATTAGGCGTGACTCTGTCCCAAGGGGTTGAGCATGCACCAAAAATAATAATAGAGGCCAGCCTTAGGATTAAGGAATAAGTGTAAAAACGTAGCCTTAGGCTATAAGGAATAAGTCTAAAAAAAATTTCAAGATGATCGATTAAGAAATGCGGTCTGCAAGTGACACACAGACATAAAAAAAGAAAATGGGCGTAGCTCTGCCCCTGGGGGTTGGGTATTCACCACAACTAATAGGGATGTTCCTTAGGATAGAAGGAATATGTATGCTAAGTTTCAAGGTGATACGATAAGAAATGCGATCTGTAGATGACAAACAAATAAATAAATATAAGGGATGGGCGTGGCTCTACCCCTGGTGGTCGGGCATGCACCAAAAACAATAGGGATCATACTTAGGGTATAAGCAATTCATATGAAAAATTTTCAAGACGATTGATTAAGAATTGTGGCCTGTAGGTGACACACAGACATAAAAAGAAAAGAAAATGGGCGTGGCTCTGCCCCTGGGGGTAAAAAAACAATAGGGGTCATCGTTAGGGTATAAGCAATTCATATGAAAAAATTTCAAGACAATTGATTAAGAATTGTGGTCTGTAGGCGACACACACACATAGAAAAAGAAAATGGGCGTGGCTTTGCCCCTGGGGGGTGGGCATGCACCCAAAACGATAGGGATGTTCCTGAGGGTACAAAGAATAAGTATGCAAAGTTTCAAGATGATACGTTAAGAAATGCGGCCTGTAGACGACAAACAAACAAATACAAAAATGGGCGTGGCTCTGCCCCGGGGAGGCGAGCATGCACTAAAAACAATAGGGATCATCCTTAGGGTATAAGGAATAAATATGTAAAGTTGATACGTTAAGAAATGCGGTCTGTAGATGACAAACAAATAAATAAATATAAGGAATGGGCGTGGCTCTGCCCCTGGGGGTCGGGCATGCACCAAAAACAATAGGGATCTTCCTTGGGGTATAAGGAATAAGTATACCAAGTTTGAAGAAAATCCAGTAAGAATTGCGCCCTGTAGGCGACACAAAGACACACGAAAAGAAAATGGGAAATGGGCGTGGCTCTGCCCCTGGGGGTTGGGCATGTACCCCAAACGATAGGGATGTTCCTTAGGGTACAAAGAATGTGTATGCAAGATTATAAGTTAAGAAATGTGGCCTGTAGACGACAAACAAACAAATACTAGAAATGGGCGTGGCTCTGCCCCTGGGGGTCGGGCATGCACCAAAAACAATAGGGATCTTCCTTGGGGTATAAGGAATAAGTATACCAAGTTTGAAGAAAATCCAGTAAGAATTGCGCCCTGTAGGCGACACAAAGACACACGAAAAGAAAATGGGCGTGGCTCTGCCCCTGGGGGTTGGGCATGCACCCCAAACGATAGGGATGTTCCTTAGGGTACAAAGAATGTGTATGCAAAGTTTCAAGATTATTAGTTAAGAAATGTGGCCTGTAGACGACAAACAAACAAATACTAGAAATGGGCGTGGCTCTGCCCCGGGGGGTCGGGCATGCACCAAAAACAATAGGGATCTTCCTTGGGGTATAAGGAATAAGTATACCAAGTTTGAAGAAAATCCATGAAGAATTGTGCCCTGTAGGCGAACCACAGACACACACACACACATACATACATACACACACACACACACACACACAGACAGGGGCGACGGCATAATACGTTCACATTATGAATGTGGACGTATAAAAATAGCACAGTGACAGACAGACATAAGATAAACATATTATTTTTAAATGTCTGAGTTCAGGTTACAAAACCAGGGTCACGCACGTGGACGTAACCCGGAAACAGTACACCGGAAGTGGAGAACGTCAAACGTCAACAAACAAGTTAAATATAATTGTTCATCTACATCGACTTATTATGAATATTTCAAAGCGAAACTACATGGACGTTGGAGCTGTAGCACGTGACAGCTCTATGATTATGTTTCCTGCCGCTGACAGAAATAAGGAAGCCATTTTAGACGTACTTGAGAAGTATTTTCCACCTAAAGGGGGCGTTTCGCCAGCTACTGAAAATGTAAACAAAGAATTACCGGTACAAGCTTTAGAGATATCGTCAGGAACTGGCCAGCACGTGATTTATTTTGCTAGTCATCTACCCCAGATACTCTGGCAACCAAGTGAATATGACAAAGATTATATCAAGAGCATAAGCGCTCACATCAAACACTCAGGTGTTACAAACGTACTTCCACCTGTTCAGGTAGATATTTCACAACCAGTTGAAGATTGGATGCCTTCAACAATAACCTTAAACTCTTGTGACTTACTGCTCAATGTAAACCTAATTCATATCTCTCCTTGGCAGTGTGCAATAGGTTTAATGAAGGCAGCTGGAAAATTATTAAAAAAAGAAGGATTTCTGTTTATGTACGGGCCCATGTCAGTACATGGAGTTATTAGCCCAGAAAGTAATGTTAGATTTGATCGCTCTCTAAGATCACAGAATTCTTCATGGGGATTACGGGACATTGACGACATTGAGTCACTTGCTACAGAAAATCAACTGAAATTACATCAAGTTGTTGATATGCCTGCTAATAACAAAACTCTAGTATTTGTAAAACAGTAGGAAATTAATGCAAAGTTTCTATTAAACCTAGTAAATCAGTCAAAAAGTTTCTTCACCATAATCATTTTTATTAGCCCACTCAAAGCAGAACAGTAGGACCTTAAACCCCATTTGTTTTCATTTCATTGGATCTGTCATTGAGTTAGCTGCCGTGGTTTCGATCGCCAGGTTGTACCTGACAAGGAGCAAGGTTGATTGTCCAACCTAATGGGTTTCTCCAGTTTCCTCCCACTGCTAAAGACCCCTACGAGCAAGCAAATTATTGAAATAAAATTGAACCATGTGTTAATCCCGAAGTGACCTAGTTTGTGTCAGTGGAGGTTAAACCCTCTCTCTCTCTCTATTCACCACAGATCCATTAGATATGGATTTAGACAGGCTAATAATCGCACTGTAAAAATGGCACAGGTGAAAATTAAATTCAAAGTCTTTTTATAATGCCATTATGTCCATCTTGATCAGAAAATTACTGACTAGAAATAAACCCAATCGGACATCAAAAAAATGGACCAACTCAAAATTCACTAAAAATTCCACAGTTGTATAATACAGAGTCTATGTTTTATAATTTTCCTGCTACTCAGGGAGGAGCCACTGTGGCTAAGTGGGTAAGGCGCTGGCTCACTAGCCTGGAGGTTGCAGGTTAGCTCCTGGTGTAGACCTTATATCACCAACGTTTTCTTTGTTTGAACATGCGTCCAGGTCATACATGTGGACGAGCTATGAGTGGGGGTGGGTGTAGCTCATTACTGATGGGCAGTATTCTGGTGAAGGTGGTCACTGTTCATGAATAAGTCCTACACTGAGTTCAAGCCTGGAAATAAGGCACCTGTCACGGACAATGCTAGACACAGATTCTGGCTTTGTCAGGCACAAAACCTCTGGTGCCTGTCATTTTGTCCAGCACTGATTCATTTGTCTTTTTTATTGATATTATTAATACATGTCCGGCACTAAGTTGAAAATGTTAGTGTCAACATTTTGTCAGGTGCATCTAAAACCGTTATTTCCAGACCTGCCTACACACAAGCTATTTATTGGAATAAAATTCAACCATATGTTAGTCCCAATATGGCCTAGTTTGTGTTGAGCAAATATTTTGAACCATGTCTCTCACTTTCTCTGAACTTTTATTCTGGTTTAGAAGTCACTCGAAGTCAATAGCTTAAGATGCTAGACTAGTACCAGTTTCTTCCAACTTCAGTTCCGCCTAGTGTGAGGCAGACAAGGAATTTAAAACCCTATTTACATTACAAATTTTAAGCGTGCCAGGCACGGCACGGTTAATGTTTTTGTAGTGTAATCGGATCAAACATAAGCGTGCCATACTGAGTACCATGCCAATTGGGCCCACTGAAGTGAGGTGGTCTCGGCACGGTGCCAGCCACGGCGTGGTTAAATTTTCATAGTGTAAACGCCAGTTGACTCAATGAAAGGCCTTATGATACAGCGCGCACGTGCTAACCATTCGGCCATCCAACCCCTGGAAAACTTAGGTCCTGTGTAGATATTGGCATGCACATAAAAGATGCCTTGGCAGTTGGAATTTGATATAAAAGTAGGTAGTAGTGTCGCTGTCTGGACAAAATTTACCTCATAACTTCTGCATGGCATATGCCCCCCCCCCCCCCCGCTTTATTCCAATTCCGTAATAACATATAATAAAACTGATATGGCTCAAGTTGTTATTTGAAAAAAAAGAGAGAGAAAGAAATGGGGTTTAATGTCCACTTGACACAAACTACGTAATTTCGGGACTAACACACGGTTCAATTCCATTTCAATAATTCACTTGCTCGTAGGAATCTTTAGAAGTGGGAGGACCCGGAGAAAACCCACAAGGTTAGACAGGCGACCTCATTCCTTGTCACATACAAGCGGGGAATCGAAACCATGCCACTTAATGACAGACCATATGATTGAATGCAGTAATCATTCAGCCACCCAAGCCCCTGATTCAAACATACAACAGTCAGGCTAATGTCACATAAAAGCACTGTACCATAAAGTCTGTCATTGAGTCAACTGGCGTAGTTTCGAATCCCCGGTTTGTGTCGAGTGGACGTTAAACCCCATTTCTCTCTCTCTCTCTCTCACATAAAAGCAAATATTCTGAAATCATTTATACTTACATCTCTTAGTGAAACATGTCCCCCCATTTAAACGGAAGTCCACCGATGAATATGAAATGGCGATGCTTCAGAGCCTGAAGCTGAACTGCAATGTGAAATAGTCTAAATTCTGTAAGATTAAGACTGGCAAACTTATATGAATTGTTTTTTAACCATCAAGTTCAAGGCAAATTTTATGTCAAGGCAATAATATTGTTTTTGTTTCCACTAAAACATCCAAAAACACTAAAACATGTGTACTTGTCACACATGCATGATGTGGTGAAATGTTAGTACATCTAGAGCATCTAGTACATCTAAAGTACACATATCATCATGACCTGGCACTCCAGTCTGGTATTATATGCTGATAACAACAGGGGTGGATCCAGGAATTTTCGCAGGTGGGGGTTTGCCCAGTTCCTGAGACCATGTATCTTTGGGTGGCCAGGAAGATTTGCACTTGTCAGACATGCATGATATGTTGAAGTACGCAAATCAGCATGACATCTATAGAATAAAGTACAGATATCATCACGACCTGGCAATCCAGTCTGAGATTTTTTCTTTTTTAAAAAGTGGTATATGCTGATAACAGATCCAGGAATTTTCGCAGGTGGGGGTTTGCCAGGTACCGAAGACCATGTATCTTTGGAGAGGCCAGGAATTTTTGCAGGAGGGGTATGCCCAGTACCTAAGACAATGTATCTATGGGGAAGGGGCGGTTCACTCCCCCCGGCCTTGGAATTTTTTTAGAAATACATGGTCACTCTCGTCATTTTGGTGTATATACATGCTCACTGAGCTTTTTAAAGAGAAAAACCCAGCGCCCCGTTTTTATAATGAATTTTATACGATCGCTTTGTGATTCAATTTCATTGATGCAAAGCATTAATTGTGATATCACATATGCCTATATTGTTATCTTGCGCTTTGAATGCTTATCCCGTCCCACCATCTGACGATAAAAATTTTTTTAGGTAGCTGAGCAGGGGGGTGTTTCAACCCCCAAAGCCCCATTTGGATCCACCTCCTGATATCACATATGCCTATATCATTATCTCGTGCTCTAAATGCATAATCAATCCCACCATCTGACAATAAAGGATAAAGCACACGTCTAGTGTCACTTTTCTCTTAAAAAGAGTTGTTTTACAAATTTTTTTATGTAGCTGAGCAGGAGGGGGTTCGGCCCCCCAAAGCTCCCCTTTGGATCCACCCCCTGAACAACACGAAGAGGAGGAAGTAACACAATCTATTATATTCAATTTGCGTATTTCCTGTCAAATGTTTTGAGTTAGTAGGGCTTTTCTAGAAATATGACTGACCCCTTGGCCCTCAATAACATTTGTCTTTTTGACCCCAGGATACCTGGCCACCACCATCATAAAACACTGAGGTCACTTACTACACACTAAAAACACGTTCATCACTTAGAATAATCTTGAATCCTATCACTTTTTCATAAAAGGGGCAATTAAGGAGAGTGTGGGAGAGAAATGGAGTTTAATGTCCACTCGACACAAACTAGGTCATTTTGGGACTAACACACTGTTTAACTTTATTTCAATAAATCGCTTGCGCGTAGGGGGTCTTTAGCAGTGGGAGGAAACCAGAGGACCCGGAAAAAACCCATGAGGTTGGACAAGCAACCCTACTCCTTGTCACTTACAACAGGGGAATCGAAACCATTACAGGTGACCCTGTTCTTTGTCTTTAGCAGTGGGAGGAAACCGGAGGACCCGGAAAAAACCCATGAGGTTTGACAGGTGACCCTACTCCTTGTCACGTACAACTGGGGAATCAAATCCACTCTGGTTTGTTTCAATGACAGACTTTATGATACAGCGCGCACACGCTAACCATTCGGCCATTCAACCTACATAACCTTCAATATTATCTACCCTTATATAAAGTAGAATATTCAACAATTACCTTAATGTAAAGAATATCTTGTTTACCTCTAGGGGGAGAAGTAGTTAGCTCTTCTATCTTTGTGACAAACCCTCCTTAAACTCTCTCAAAGTTAATATGCAATCTGTCTGTACTTAGATACAGTACTGGATTGCTAGGAATCCAATAATTGCCTTTGTCTGAATTCGAATGAAATTTGCATAATAACTAATTCAAATATAATCTGCATTTATGACACTGAATAAAATTAATATTTTTAAAGTTTTTACATTTTATTTATGAGGGAGAGAGAGAGAGAGGGAGGGTTTAATGTGGTCACTTGGACACAAACAAGGCATTTCGGGACTAACATATGGTTCAATTTTATTTCAATAATTTGCATGCACGTTGGGGTCTTTAGCAGTGGGAGGAAATGGAGTTTAATGTCCACTCGACACAAACTAGGTCATTTTGGGACTAACACACTGTTTAACTTTATTTCAATAAATCGCTTGCACGTTGGGGTCTTTAGCAGTGGGAGGAAACCAGAGGACCCGGAAAAAACCCATGAGGTTTGACAGGCGACCCTACTCTTGTCAAGTACAACCCTACAAAGGGGAATCAAAACCATGACAGGCGACCCTGTTCCTTGTCACGTACAACCGGGGAATCGATACCATGACAGGCGATCCTGTTCCTTGTCACGTACAACCAGTAAATTGGAGATAAAACCAAGACTTATTTTGATGTGAAATTGATATCAGTATTGTCTAAGCTGTTATCTCTTTGAGATGGATCTCCTGTGTATGGCCTAGTTAGCATTTTTCAATGACAAAGCTGGCTTGGGAGAGAAAGAGAGAGGGGGAGGGTTTAATGTGGTCCCTTGGCCACAAAAACAAGGCATTTCGGGACTAAGATATGGTTCAATTTTATTTCAATAATTTGCTTGCGCGTAGGGGTCTTTAGCAGTAGGAGGAAACCAGACTGGAGGACACAGAGAAAATCTACGAAATTGGACAGGCGACCCTACTCATTGTCATGTACAACCGGGGATTCGAAACCACACCAGTTGGCTCAATGACAGGCCTTATGATACAGCGCACACGTGCTAACCATTCGGCCATCCAACCCCCCGTTAAATGTTTGAATAAACCACCTTGTAACAACTTCAAGTCTGTTGAGCCGGGATTTTTATATCTATAAATAACTTTATATTCTCTTTGACTATAGTATAGTTGTTTGGATGGACAGGAAATAAATGATCCCTTGACAGCTGTCTAGTCCTTCGGATGAGACTAAAAACTGAGGTCCCGTGTATACATTGGAATGCACGTGAAAGATCCCTTGACAGTTGGAATTCGATATAAGAGTAGGCCATAGTGCCGCTGTTCAGGCAAAATTCCCCTCATAGCACACTGTATGGCGTATACCCATCTTCATTAGCCCAGTCGGAGCAGAACAGTAGGTAGCTAAACCCATTTCATTTTTTCTATGTATTCAGAGTTAATAATGTGTACGCTGTAAGTTATAATTTGTTTGTCTGGTTTTTTTTAAAGTAATTTTCTGGCATTATTGATGGCTTTTTTGTTTTACATTTTTAAACAAGATATGCAATTTCCATTTTTTTCTCTTTACATTAAAATTGTCCATGTGTCTGCCATTAATTTTGACATTTTGGATCATCTGTGTTGTTTTGGGTTTCTCAGTAAGTGCTACAGGGTCTCAACTCCGAGTTCACAAAGCATTTTCAGACTTAATTTAAGATTTTACTCAAAATTCTTTGTCTTATTTAAACTGAAATAGAGCCCTTTTTAAACCTTTTGTTGTTTTAATATATCAAATACATCAATAAGAAACTAGGTGCAAAGTTTTATGTTTCTGGATCAAAGGTATATCTCATAAAAATGATTGAAAGTTGAGTATGAGAATGCTTTGTGAACTTGGGACTTTCAATAAAAGAAAAAACACAACCTGTTTCAAAATTGACTTTAAATATGAACTTTCGCTGTAATTGAAAATGATAGATTTTCAATATACCAGTATATAAAATAGAGACAGAAAGGAAAAATAGCTGATCGTTTGTCGTTATTATTGGCAGTGTGTTAGTGCTGGTCACTGCTGCAGTTGTTGTTTACATGGTGGTCATAGAAGTTCATGTAGCGGTTATTAGGTTAATAAGTTATGGTACTGCCATTAGCTAGGCTATATTTGTTTACTGTAGGCTTAAAGTCAGAGGGGATATTGACCACAGATTATTTGATCACTCACATACCAGACCTGGAAGATATCTAGGGTATTTCCATGTTATTTGTATGGTAATGAAAACATGGGTTGCCAGACAACAAAACAAAACCAATCATACAATCTCTTGTTTATATACAGAAATATGTTTATACGTGACAATAATAATGGAAATTTGTAAGTCAAGGATACAAAGTGATCACTAACATTATAATATGTTCAATAACATGTCAATAATAACTAAGTATTGTCAACCTGACATATATATACTTTTATTCTTCAATGACGTCATGTCATTTATTGTATGTCTTGACAAGCTCAAGCAAAACATGTAGACAAATAAACAAAAGTACTTTCTTTATGCATTTTTAACCTTTATTTTTTTCTATATTAACAATACTACGATTTCAACATCTATATATATATATGGTAACTATAGCCAATTAAAACCACAGTGTTACTATGTAAATATGTATAAATATTAAAATATACTATACTGTTCATCTTTATACAATGACATTATTTATGAATAGTCCCAGACAGACAAAAAGTACTTTAAAAATGTTATTAAACCAGTGTTGAAATCAGTTTGTTTCGGCATACCTTTTATCTTTTCATCATTTACCGTGAAACAAAGTAGTGCAGCTTTACGGTTGTTCTAATATTTCGGATATATATATATATATATATATAAGTTTAACAGGTGCCCTTTCGGCAGGCTTGATAATATACAACATAATGCTAAGTCATTTATAACCAGAGATATATACACGCAGACAATATTCATTTATCAAATTGAAGTAAAGAAACCGGTCTTATTTTTATTTGCTTGTACTTGTCACTTGATAATAGTTTCTAGGCATTCAATCAGTTTACTAGGTGTAATTGTGTAATTACATAATGGCGTACTTCACAGATTTGTCCCAACCCCGAGTTCATAAAGCTTTTTCAGACTTCAGTTAAGAATTTACTCAAAATTGTTGACCTTATTTTAACTACAATATAGCCCTTTATAAAACTTTTGTTGGTATAATGTATGAAATATATCAATAAGAAACTATGTGTAAAGTTTTGTGTTTCTAGATCAAAGATATTTCTCATAAACAGTGATTGAAAGTTGAGCAAATTCATAACTTAAGTCTAGAGAATGTTTTATGAACTCGAGGCCAGAACGGTTCTAGTTATTCTCTTCACAGTTAGACTTTAATATTGACATTCCTTGGTTTAAACAATTTTTTGATCTTAATTTGATCTGATCACAAACTAGATTTGATGGGTTGGTTCGACAGTCACTTTTTATTTCTATCTAAGGAAGAGAGAGATAGAGAGAGAAATGGGGTTCAACTCCACTCGACACAAACTAGGTCATTTCGGGACTAACATATGGTTTAATTCTATTTCAATAATTCGCTTGCGCGTAGGGATCTTTAACAGTGGGAGGAAACCGGGGGACCCGGAGAAAACCCACAAGGTTGGACGGGCGATGCTACTCCTTGTCAGTACAAATGGGGAATCAGAACCACACCAGTTGACTCAATGACAGACCTCATAAAACAACATGCACACGCTAACAATTCGGCCATCCAACCCCCCTCCCAGGCCTAAGGAATCTACAGATTGTGTGACGTCATTTGCATTAGTGTTTTCCCAAATTCACATCTGTTCATCTCCTATCCTTCCACACCAATCTTTGTATTAGAAAGTTGAATAGCTGGAAAATTTGGTAAAATGTTGATTTTTTTCACAGCTAATTATGTTGAAAGTGTGTATGTTATTATATTAACGACACAGCAGACGATGCTACATGTGGGGCTAACGGACGATACCTCATGATGTGTTGATCGCCTTTCTCTAAATCAACTATTTCTTCACTGAAACAAAAAAAAGATACATTATGCAAGAGCTAAATCAACTATTTCTTCACTGAAACGGAAAAAAAATAAAATAAAATTTTTTTTTTAAAGATACATTATGCAAGAGCTAATGGATGGTCGAATGGTTAGCTATGCTCGTTGTACCATAAGGTCTTACATTGAGTCAACTAACATGGTTTCCATTCGGGGGGTTGGATGGCTGAATGGTTAGCGTGCGCGCGCTGTATCATAAAGTCTGTCATTGAGTCGACTGGCGTGGTTTCAAATCCCCGGTTGTACGTGGCAAGGAGTAGGGTCGCCTGTCCAACCTCGTGGGTTTTCTCTGGGTCCTCCGGTTTCCACCCACTTCTAAAGACCCTTACGCACAAGCGAATTATTGAAATAAAATTGAACCATATGTTGATCCCGAAATGATCTAGTTTGTGTCCAGTGGATGTTAAAACCCCATTTCTCTTTCTTTCTCGTTCTTGAAACATTAAACACGACCTTTTGGCAACTTGTTCTAACCACATACAAATAACACAAGAACACTACGTGAAATATACGTGCTGTGGTTATTTTGGTAAAGTGTATCAATGAATTACGATTCTAAAAAGAGATGAAATACATCAAGCTTTGGCTTCCTATCAACATAAATAAAGAAATAAATACTTCATTCTAGAATAAAGTACATAGAAAAAAAGAACTAGGATATATTTGTAAAATTTAGAACAAAATTTCTCATTAACGGCACGTGTCAAGGTTAGGAAGGGGCCATAAATAAAAAAAATAGTAAATCATGCAGCAACAAGTTGGCTTAATGCAGGGATCGAGGGTCAATGATGACAACTAAGAGAGAGAAATGGGGCTTAACCTCCACTCGACACAAACTAGGTGATTTCGGGACTAACATATGGTTCAATTTTATTTCAATAATTCGCTTGCTTGTAGGGGTCTTTAGCAATGCGAGGAAACCGGAGGACCCAGAGAAAACCAACAAGGTTGGACAGGCTACCCAACTCCTTGTCACGTACAATGTCAGACTTTATGATACAGCGCGCACATGCTAACCATTCAGCCATCCAACACCCCATGATAACTAAGGCCATGGGTGTTTTAGGTACAGGAGAATAATACATTGTAGTTAAAAACTAGATCAAGTTGGATCATACCACTTTATCAACTATGGAATGTATTTATATTATTGAACTTTCACCCCTCTCTCATGCATTTTATTACTGATAATGCCAAATTTGGTAACAAAACCAGTTACATTTGGTTTAAACAGGACAGTGTGTTTAATCTTGTGTGTATTAAATGGCTGATCACAAATATTTTCCCATTTTGGTCTCTCCAAAGCATCTACAGTAATTTCACACAAGATTACAATATAATAAAAATAATTGATGTTAAAGGGACAATAACACTCTTGCTGGCTTGACAGCTCCAGAAAATAAAAAAATAGCCTTATTCTAAGTATTAGATGTGATATAGTGTCTTACCTGATGTGTTAATTATCCATTACATCCTATTTTACTTGTCCAGAGGGTTCAAAAATATTTTTAAATCCAAGTCACATTTGAAAAGCTTTACGTCAGGCTTTTCAAATCATTTAGTTGAATTTTTCCAATTTTTTAAATTAGGTGTGTTAAGATGAAATTTGTATCATCAATTAATTGGAATATTGTAAAATAGTACAATTTGTTGACTAGAATAAAGATTGGGACATATTATTTAGTTACAACAAGAGTGGTATTGAGCCTTTAAACATACATTATTCAAGAGCTAAATCTGCCTATTGCAAGTCTTTCTTTAGGCTTCAGATGTTTTAGAAATTATTAATTAGACATTTATTTACATGACAAGCTCAAAATCAACTTTGTAGACCCTCGGATGGCGTGGAAACAGCTTGCATTTAAAACAGTCGTCCATTTAAAATTAAATTAAGAAATGGCTGACCAAGCTAACGTTTACCGGAGACTTCTGATGAAAGGCCTACCAAGCGAGGGTACCATAGCCATTGAGAATGTGTGGGTGGAGTTATTGTCTTGTCTATCAAACGATCCACAAAAATCGTCGACGGTGCAGACACAATTGATGCTTATTTCTAGTCCAAACTTCCAACAGAGACAATTCCATTTAGAATAAAGTAATTTAACTGAAATTTTCAATATTTTCTTTCTTTCATCATCTTTTTTTGAATTATTAAAGCAAGAATAGCCAACTCTTTATTAAACTCGTAACTAATGTATCTTTAATCTAAGAATATCAACATATGCTTTTATTTCTGAATTTTTACACCAAAAGTGCACATTTAAGTGCACAAAGGATATCTTTCCAAGGTAGGCTGTCTAATATCTCTACATTATTTCTGAAACTAAGAATTTATATTTTTTTCAGGTGAATTTATTTGTGCACTTTCTGGAAGTGCCAGATGGCCTTTCATTTTATATATATATTTTTTTATACATATATATATACACACACCTCCCAGGTTACCAATATAAATCATGTCATGTCAGAATGATCCATTAATGTAGGTCAAGTTGGAATAAACCATTCTCAACCTAAGTAGATAAATAGATCATATTGGACTCTACCACTCTTAACATATCAGCTGTTTATATATTATGTTTATACAAAAATAAAAAAAATTCTTTGTTTAACCTTGAGCTATGGATCTCGTTATGTATAATATAAGTGAAAAGTGGTTATTCAATTACAGTTTGTATGTCAATAGATGGCCGTTATCTTGATACGATTGTATTAATCGGCATCATATTGCTGCTAAAGATCAAGTACAAAAATAAATGTAACTAATTTTCATCAACCTTAAAGATACATTATGGGAGATTCGATAACGAGTTGGCAGTTCTCACTATAATAGTTAAAAACTAGATAATATAAAGGCAATTTGCTGAAAATTTCATTCAAATTGATCCACTTTGAATTGAGAACTAAGCGATTGAAATTTCCGCCTAGCCTTGATCATCATTACTAAAGTCGGTATGATAAACAGCATAGTCTCAATTATCTATTTAATCGTTAAATCGTGAAGGAAAGTTATGCAGTAAATCGGCTCATAATCCATTAAAGATCGCAGGCTAGCGATGCCATCTACAGTTGATTATGGTCTGGATAGGTTAATTGATGTCTAACTAATTAATAATATAGATAACATTTCAAGCCTAAAGAAAGACCTGCAATAGACAGATTTAGCTCTTGCATAATGTATGTTTAAAGGAGCTAAATCGCTAATATTTAAGACCTAGAAATTGAAACAAATGTGTTGCAACGCATATTATAATGTAATATGCATGTATATAAACTGATTTTCATTCAATTGTTTCCGTTTTTACTCTTAATTTCAAAAAAGTTATGTTTGGAAAATTACGCCAGAAGTCTCAATCGAATTGCAATCTCTAGCGTCTGGTTATTCCAGTCTATGTGCATGCTCTCCAGATAAGAATATGGCGTCACCGTTTGACATGACTTGTGGAATATGTCTAGTCCCGTTCTTCGAGTCCCTTGTTACAAATAGCGCTGAAAAGCAATCGTGTACCAATGGTAAAATGTTTATTTTGTCTCAAATATTTGATATCAGAAGCCCATCTTGTCCCGGTCAGACCACAACATCAATGTTGATTTAAATTGACAAATAATTTGTGTTTTCAGTGTCAAAGATTTTGGATGCTATTGAGTTAGAGACTTAGCTACTTTAAACATTAATGATGTCGAAGACTCTGAATGCTATTGAGTTAGAGACTTGTCTACTTTAAACATACATTATCAGGGCTAGAAATTCGTCATTTTTTGCAAGAATCTAAGAGAATTCTCATATATGGAATCTGCGCGAATCTTTCGACTCTTAATTAATAATACTGTCTAAAAAACAAAATTGTGTTTATTGTGATAATCTAAAACACCAAAATACAACAACAATGATAAAAATAAAACAATCAGATGGAGTTTTTGGTAAACACTTAAATAGTGTCAAAAGTAATATCCAGAAAATGCCGTAGTCAAAATAAGCTGATACAGCACCATGGCATTTCTTCATAGCACAATTTGTAGTCTTTTGTCCATCACGCAACTAGTCACGTAACTTGCAAAAGTTTTTATTCATTCGTCGATGATAGACAAACTGCACAATGATCACGTGACAAAATAAACTTCGGTACGACTATGATATAGCCTTCAATAATATTTTTAAAATTAAGTCTCTGTCAGCATGTATATAAAATAAAAAATCATAACGGTAAACGCTATTTAGAACTGGTTTATTGACCTAATTCCAACCAATATGTCACGTGTCATTGGAATTCGACATTTGAGATTCTGTTGGGAAAATATCCAGTTTCTCTGTGTATTCGGTGTTCTATCAGGGGATTATATTCAATGCAAATTTAAATTTAACTAACAACTGGTCCGTGAATCCATCAATGTATGATCCAGTTATTATTTTAATACCTGGAATTCACACGGACGGAGCGTGGAAGATGCGCGATTCGCAAACCATGCCGAGATCGTCTTCATTCACCACAGGCGTATTTTACTGAACCTAGTATGAATTATCAGCTTGTTTTGTTTTTTTACCGGATTATCAAAATCACCGTTAAATGTGTTAAATGTGCTAATTACTCGGATTATGAACCACATATGGCAGATTCGCACTAAGGTATGACTGTTGTTGTAGCCGACACTTCTTTATTAACAAGTCATAATTAGACAAAAGGCAAGTAGGTTGATTTATGATACCATGTGGCCGATTCATTGTTTTACCAATCGGCTAGATTAAACATCAATCGGCTAAATCCCACAATTAACCGTGACTGACATTCAACAGTTGGAGTCGAGAATTCTCCGAGATTTTTTTTTTTTTTTAAGAAAAATTTTACGCGAATCCTTATAGATTCGCAGCGTAAGCTCTTGCGAGAATCCTTGCGCGAATCAGATTCGGAGATTCGCGTGAATTTCTAGCCCTGATTATGCAAGAGCTAAATCTGCCCATTGCAGGTATTTCGTTAGGCTCAAGATGTTATAGAAATTATTAATTAGACCTTTATTTACACGACAAGCTCACAATCAACTCCGTACGTAACTAACGTACGAAAATTAATTGGAGGCTAGCTTTTTTTTCGCACGTACACAGTGAATGGCCATTTTGCTCAGTAATCCCAGCCAGAATTTGGCTATTTTCTAAATTTGCGTTAAAGTTTAAAATGTTTGTTTTAGAACTGAAACACATTAACTATTATTAGTCAATCCCAACGCTAAAAACATCAACAGAATTGATTGTGTATATCTGAAATAGACCCGACCGACGCACAAAATAGTGCAATATGGCGGCCTCCCTGAACAACCCTCGCAGACGCTGTCATTGAAGACAACGTCAATTCTATGAGTTGTAGATGTTATTTTTGTGAAAAATCATTGGAAGAAGAGAGAACATGTTGGGACTGTACGAATTATATGATCTTTATGGGTGCAAAGGACACAATGCTGAAGATAAACCTATTGTTTACAATGTTGACCTCATGACCCATCAATAAATGGCGGACCAAGCTAACGTTTACCGTTAGTCGCTGATGTCACTACCAGAAACTGGTGATGAAAGGCCTGCCAAGCGAGGCTACCATAGCCATTGAGCATGTTACTTGATAATCGAGAATATGTGGGTGGAGTTATCGTCTGTCAATCAAACGATCCCCAATTCTCATAGACAGTGCAGACACAACTAATGTCTATTTCTAGTCCAAACTTCTAACAGTGACAATTCCATTAATAACAAAGTTTTTTGACTGAAATTTTCAACATTTTCTTTTTTATCATCTATTTTTGAATTATTATATGAATAATTTAATTAAACACACACACACTCTCTCTCTCTCCTAACCACATCAGATGCGTTTCTCTCTCTCTCTTATAAAAGATGCATTATGTTAGTTCAAAATAAATAATCAAACATGAATATGAGATTTCAGTCAAATCTCTCTCTCTCTCTCTCTCTCTCTCTCTTTCTCTCTCTTCAGATGGGTTTCTCTCTCTCCTAACCACATCAGATGTGGTTTGTTTTGTTTTTTCTTGTACTAAGGTATAAGTTGTTTATATATAAATCACCTACTTACCCAGTATCTAATGTTTCTTCTTCTATTAAAATACCTTGTGTGTCTTCATTCACCCGTAAAAATATATAGTTATCTAGATTTGGCTGTATTACTGAAAAAAAGACAAATAACATCTAAATATATATATGACCTTCCTTATTGTTGGGGTTTTATTTATATACATATATTAGATATATATGTACAACATGGTTTTTCTGCAGGGAAACATATTTGGCAGACAAAATGCAAACTCTACTCTAGTGCATCACGGTTTCTCCATCAAAAAACATCAAATGACGTCACTATGACGTTGATAATGACACCTTAAATAATGGCACTATTTCAAGACATGTTTTTGTCTTTCATAGAAGACCATGCCTTTAAATAACTTGTTTTATGAGTTGTGATATATTTGTGGTGATATGTAACATTTTTATCTGTATTTCGGTTTTGATTTATTAATTGCCGTCTGTTAAATGTCATTCCCAGTTTTTTATGAGAATATCAAATTTTCCACAATGCAATGGGCTTCTTTTTGTCTCACTAATGTACGAGGGCTGACTGAAAAGTTCTAAGCCTAAAAAGGATAGATCAGTTGGGTTGATACGACAGTTTTCGCTAATATAGTTAAAAATAAATAATGAAAAAAGAATATGCTAAAAATTTCAGTCAAATTACTTCACTATGAGCCTAGCTATTAGCAATACAATTATAGGCTAGCCTCAATTGTCATTACTACCGTTTTACGATAATAAACAATGTCTCAATTATTCATTTTTACCATAACCTCATCCACCACAAAACATATTCAAATCCACTAAACATCACAGGCATCCGATGGCATCAAGAGTTTGTCATGGTCTGTACAAATCGGCCCCGTTTGTCGCGACGCAGGAGCGCCATCACGTAGTGATCTCTAAAACTATTATGGCCACATCCGCCTTCATTTCTATCGGGTTTGGAGCTCAAAGTACGGCAATAAACTCGCTCTAACTTGACTGAATGAAAAATCTAACAAACTTTCGACTTTGTGGAATAACAATCTATAATTCTAGTGATCTTTTTTTGGAAAATCTTATCGGATTCCTGAGAACAGATGTAGGCCTATTTTCTTCATGATCACCATCAAAACATTGAAGAATCCATTATGTCGTAAATTTTATGTTAATTAGATTGCCATTACTTAGATTTTCCTTTTTCTCACTGTTTTATTGTCGATTTGGGATGATACGAATATTTAGTATATATTAAAGACGTCTCTATTCATTTGACCTCATTTGACGTTTAAACATAATGTACATGAATTTTAGGTACTATTTTTTTTTTGCGGATGAATACAGCGGTTCTGTATTGTATTCTGTTGTAGACTGTGAAAATTTTGGATCCATGTGTCGACGCTTTAAATCACATGGATCCATTAAACCTTCTAACTGTTTAATTCCATTTTTTTCATTGAAGATTCTTATATGACAAATCTTTCCTTACACTAGAAACGTAATCACTGGGTAAGTTAATTAATGCTTAATTAAAAATTTAGATAACATTTCAGGGCTAAAGAAAGACCTGCAATATGTAGATTTAGCTCTTGCATAATGCATGTTTATGTCAGCTGAAAATGCTTTGTGGACTCAGGGGACCGGATATTCATTTTAGAGATTCAACTGTAATTTGCAATGGATTAACAATGCCTCAAATGTATTTCAGAGACTTTCAAAATTTAAATTTTAGCGTTGATTCATCTGTGAAAAATTAAGACATTGTCCATTGTCTGAAGAAAGCATGCTTGGAATCGGCCACTTTTATAATATATTTTCATAAACATGCAAGTATATATAATGTACCGATGTACTGGTAATGTAGTACATAAATGTAGTACATAAGAGTAAGATAAATGGTGTAATGCAACACAGCGGAAATTATATTTGTGAAAAATACAAAATATTCAGAATATTTACTTTATGCATGTGTTTTTTTAAAGGTTTTTTTTATAAAACACATTATAACAAGGTTCACATTAATTTATTTCACGTTTCCTTTAAAGGGATAATAACACTCTGGCTGGCTTGACAGCTCCAGAAAATATAAAATAGCCTTATTCTAAGTACTAGATGTGTTAGTGTCTTGCCTGTTGTGTAAATTATCCATTAAGTCCTATTTTACTTGTCCTGAGGGTTCAAAAATATTTTTAAATCCAAGTCACATTTGAAAAGCTTTACGTCAGGCTTTTCAGATCATTTAGTTGAATTTTTCCAATTTTTTAAATTAGGTGTGTTAAGATGAAATTTATATCACCAATTTATTGGAATATTGTAAAATAGTACAATTTGTTGACTAGAATAAAGATTGGGACATATTATTCAGTTACCAGAAGAGTGGTATTAAGAATGAATCCGCGAGAAAACCATGCAAAATTCGAAAAAAAACGCCAAAGTACCAGGTTTGAAATTTTTAACCATACTCTGGTTATTGGACCACCTAAGCATTGCTCTAAATATGGTGATGTCCCATAGCCCAAAACCTACCCTGGGGCCTACAGCTGGAACAGTAGTTTTTCACTCGAAAATAGCTATTTTTTCATTGAATTTTCATTGAAAATAGCAAATATTTGAAATATCGCTGTTCATAAAGTATGTTATGTTGGGTAGTTGTCATGCTCTCATTGCAAAGGCTATCATTCCGACTTTCTAACATGGGCACCATTTTTATCAAATGTTGTCTTATGGGGGTTTCAGAGCTCAGTGAAAATGGCATATCTTGTAAGACGCAAAATACAGCTTTCCCAAAAATCCTTGTAGTACCCCCTTTGCAGGTATATCATAGATTCTCATACAGTCGTTGTGAAGTTCATAGCATGCTTTATCAAAATAAAAAATAAAATTGGATGCAACGCAATAGTGTGGTGAGCAGTGGCGTCCGTAAACATGTGAAAATCGGATCTTTATGATATATTCCTTCCCTGTTGCTTTCCTATTTCAGGCCGTTTATTTCAGCTTCATTCCATCTCTCGCATTTCCTGAGTATTAAAAACGGTGTCATCAGTGCCTACAAGACGCGTGCTGATCAGTGAAGTTTGGACTCCAGTCATGCAAGAGCCTCTCCTTTCGGAAAATCGAAATTTCTAAAAACATGTCAAATTTGGGCCTAAAATGCGCTTTTTCGGCCCTATGCCCATCCATGGAGTGTGGGTTATGTAGCGCATATCCAAGTGAAAGGACTATAGTAACGCTAGGCAGTTGTAAAAAGGACATTACAGGTCATTTAAGAAGATTACACCTTCCCAAACATGATCTTCAAACTGACTGCTCAAAAACTATATGCCCAGCTCATAGATGCAAGTTGGGTCTGAGCTGGCAGCCATCCAGACTGTGTAAATATCCAGAACATCCACGCGACAACAAGAAACGGAAGATATGTGGCCATATTAAACTGTTGATGTCGATTGAAATACATAAGAAGTGGAATGTAATCGTGCCAGTAGGATCAGGTTATCATGGGTCTTGTGTCCACTATTTTCCGTTGCCGACATGACTTTGTGTCATGGACACTGTATAAAATTCAATAGTATGATCTCTAACCTATTTTCGTTCCTTAGTGCTGCCGCCCCTCAATTGCTGCATTTTATTTTGCTAATGAGTCTAGTCAGAGGGCAGTGAGACTACGATGGAATCCAAATTGTTTTCGTTGTCCTAGCTAGACTCCCAGGTACCCGCAATACGCGGTGTCTATTTATCTATAAGATAAATTTTTGTTCTTTTGTGCCATGTTCTCCCTGTCAAATTTTGCATTGTGATTTTTGTTAGGATGAGTCTAGTATAGGGATGTGGGTATCCACATTGTTCTCGCTGTCCTAGCTCTATAGAATCATGGGTACCCTTGGACAATTTCAGCCAATGAAAACCTCAGGTTTTCGTCCCATCCAAATGACTTGTCAGGCCCTCCGTCCTGCATCACTGAAAAGGGGGACCCACACCTGGGACAAAAAAACGAGGTCCGATGTACACATTGGCTTGCCCGTAAAAGATCGCTTGACAGTTGGAATTCTGTGTAAGAGTAGGCCGTAGTGCCGTAGTCCAAGCAAAATTTCTTTTCATTTCAATTTAACGTTCACAGTATTGTAGTTTATGAGGGATTCAAAATCCCCTAGGTTATTTTGACTTTGTGTGGGGAAAAGGAAAATATACAGTTACAATGTATTTTGTTTACAAAGGTCGTGTCCGATTTCAGTATATGCTGACATCTATATTAATTATTTTACCATGGGTAGGAAGGTTATACCAAGTTCATTTGTTTCGTTATAAACAGCTACAACAGGGAACAAAAAAATCGAAGTCCTGTGTACATATAGGTTGGTCTCTATCATTCAGAATAATATGGGTGGGTTGTCAACTTTTGAGAATAAGTAGGCCATTGGCTAGATTATCCTGTCTGTTACATTACATTGACAACGGTCCCATGCCCTCTGTACGGTGAAGTTTAGGAGGTTCTGGGTGACCGAACCAAGACTACACATTGGCATGCAAGCATACTGGTAGTAATAGAGCCCATTACAGTGTAGAGTAGGGCCAAATATCCCTCACTGTGCACTGCATGGCTGATTAGCCCAGTAGGAGTAGGATGTTATACTCCATTTCATTTCATTTCATTTCATTCACAGACAGATAGGCACCATTGATATACAATATCTTTTTAATAATTTGAATTAACAAGATATGAAAAGCTAATCTTTCTATTCATTCATATAAAGTACCATGTTTATCTGAATAAATCAGGGTGGGTGGATGACTGAATGGTTTAAGGTGCGCGCCGTAACATAAGGTCTGTCATTGAGTCAACTGGCGTGGTTTCGATTCTCCGCTTGTATGTGATGAGTAAGGTCACCCGTCCAACTTCATGGGTTTTCTCCAGGTCCTCCGGTTTCCTCCCAATGATTCCCCGGGTGTACGTGACAAGGAGTAGAGTTGCCTGTGGTGTTTATTAGTTATATACAGTATATGTTGATGATAAAAGGTAATTTATCTACTGTATTTAACTAGAGTAGTCATGTGTGTAATAGAATATATATACCATGGTTCACTGATGTCTTTCTTGTCTATTCTATTTTAACCGATGTAC